AAATAATCTGGTATGTATAGTACAGTAATTGTTTTTCACTTAGCAGTGAATCATGAACATTTTCCATCTTAATAAACATTCTTCCACTGCCTGGTTTTTGGGAGAAACTTGATAGCCATCATCTCATTGTGCTATAATTTAATTTCTCTGTTCTTTCACAGTTTGTTTATTCCTATATTTTTGTAGATGACTTTTGTGATTTGGGCTGTTGTTGGTATTAAAAATTCCAAAAGGCTATGAATTAATTGCTTGGCATTAATATCTATGAGAAGGATAACTGAGTCATTTTCACTCAAATTGTTAAAGGTGTGTGTGTGTGTGTGTGTGTGTGTGTGTGTGTGTGTGTGTGTGTGGTCTTGGGGACCATAGCCTTTGCCCTGAGCTACATCCCCAGCCCTTTTTAATGTCATCTTATTTTGAGACAAGGTCTCAAGTCACTAAGTTGCCTAGACTGGGCTTGAAGGTTCAGTCTTCCTGCCTCAGCCTTCCAGAGTTCAGGGACTATAAGCATGTGCCAGCACACACAGCTACATTATTATAGAATTGTAAAACCCTCACAGAAGAGACCTTAGCAGTTTCCTGGGGCAGCCTCTGATGGACCAAGTCTCCTCCCGACTCTCCCTCACAGGTCAGCCACAGTGTCACACTGCTCATACACAAAGGCACTGCACTCTGCTCTTCTTTGTATGTCCTGGCTTGTATTCTCTTGTATTGTGCGTAAGGAACTAGATTCAACATAAATAGATTTTGAAAAGTTGCTTCTGAAGCCTTTACAAGTACTGCACTTCGATCAGTGGGACTGAGGATCTGGGGAGGAAGATCGAGGCAGGACACACGCGAGCTAGCATGGAGCACTGGCTTAGCTGAGAGGGTCCAAGTTGTGAACGCACGGGCAGAGCATGTTCTCTGATTTGCGAGCTGCAGTTATCCTAATTGACTTCTGCATACTTGTGGATAGGGATCTGCCCTCTTCCATTTATTGTTCTCTTGACAAGTAGGATGTGAAATGTTGTTCCATGCCTTTCTAATTTAGATGTTGCACATGTTGAGAGGTGGTCTTGCCAACCATTTTAAGCATGGCCAAAAACACAGCACTTTGCTGTTATTAGCCGTCGTCATCTGCGCAGAGCCAGCGTTCTGCTTGGAACTGTGAAGGAGCATAAATCTCCTTTCCAGGCACAGCCTCCTTCTGCCGTAAGATAGACACGGTGCCGGGCAGAGTGGAGTGTCTTCGCTGGGCTGCTTGGGCGGCTCCCATGAGGCCCGCTAGGTCAGGGTTTCTAATTTTGAGTGTGCTCTTGAGAAGAAAAGTTTCAATTTCATTAGTACATATGTATTCTATGTATAATGTGTATATATATATATATATTACCTTGTAGAAAGTACTAAACTGTAGGAGGGATAGTAGGGAAGATTAAGATAAAGATGACAGGGTTCATGCTGTTGATTCAGCTAAGAAAAAGATAACGGTAGCTAAGTATAAGGCGTATGTGGAAAGCATGTGTATGGAAAGACCAGGGAGCTCAGAGGAGAAATGAAGACTTGCCTCACAGTCTGCACTTGCTGCTGGGGGTGACAACTCTGAAGCCATGGGCGTCTCATTCGGCCTGCGGGATGGATAAGCCGTATGTCTCAGCCACATGTGTGCTACTGTTTTCCAGCTGTGTATAGACGCCCTGTGGATAGATAAAAGCAGTGCTTTATTTGTTGTAGTTTTTGCCATACTGTGTACTCTCAATCAGTAGGTACTGGACTAAGGACTCCTGTCATAGAAATCTGCAGAATTTTTTCATGTTGGAATTTGGTCCAGTTATTTGAAGTTCAGAAACCACTGCCTATGGCAATGTGTCCTGAAGAACTTTCTGTTTTGATGGAAAGGGTCTCTACTTTGTCCAGTACCAGTCCTTCCACGTAGCACTCTAGTACTTGAAACATGGTGAGTGGGATGGAAGAACTGAAGTTTTTGCTCTATTTGACTTTAATTTTAATTTGAGTACCCTTTTGGCAAAGGATACCTCATCGGACAGGGGCGGTGCATGTCTACAGGATCATTCTGTTGTCGTTTTCCGAGCGCCTCCACCGGGCTGTCTCCGACACACCTGCTCCTGGCTTGTTCTCCACCCGCACATGTGGCTGGCTCCCAGGCCCTCTTCCTCTGTTGCCGATTCCTACCAGTCCTTTAGGCCAAGGGAAAATGCCTAGTGAATGTACTGGTCAGCTTTCCCGTTGCCGGACACAGTACCTGGCACTCACAGCTTCAAGGAGAAAAGCTCACAGCTTGGGGAGAATTCAGTCCAGAGTTAGCTGTCTCTAAGGCAGAAATATGGCGGAAGTGTGTGGCAGAGCAAAGCTGCTTAGTCTTGGTGGGTGTGGAGCAGAACAGAGGAGCAGTGCCAGAAAGGGATGGTCAGCCGCCGGGAGAGCCCCCGAGGCCGTGCCTCCTTGACTGCGCGGACCCCCAGGGAGCACCTCTGCTAGCCGCCAGGGGTTTCTCAGTACAATTCAGCTACCATGTCAGGATGAACGGTCACTGTGAGACAACGCTGAAAGCCTTTCCTGGTCATAGAAATAAAAGGAATAGTAATTTGTACTTCTTTCCCAATATTTTCTGATTCTTAGGGCCTTAAAGAGAGTTCAGTATACCTGGGATACATGAGCTAGTTGTTTTCATTTTTTGTATGTTTCCAAATTCATACAGCATGATCCTTATTTAAAAAGTTATCTATGTGATAGGCAGGGTGGCTATGATCAGTGATTAGAAACTCAATCAAAATCTTGTAGGACTCAAAAATCTTTACTTCTTTGTTTTACTGATGATTAAGGGTCATCAAATGGTCTGTCTTCTCTAACTTACTCTAAAATAATACAGTTAATAACCTTTTATAAGTTATACAGTAGATCTTTCTCATGGCTGCAGATTCTGAGACCCTCACTGCAGTACCAATACACATTGTAATGGCTTCTTATGAGGTAAAATATCATCAGCCAGGTATCTGAGCACAAAATCTACCTTTTATATTTATAATGTGGTTGATATTCACTATAAATATAGTGCTGGTTAGGGTCTAGGTAATCGTCTGTCATTACACTTCCCAAAATATTTTTATCCTGCCTATTTTAATATAAGATGCAGGAGGAGAGGAATAGCTTATAGGATCAAAAGAGGCAAGTAACCAAAAAGTTCTTCTGGAACTTAAGCTTAAAGGGTCGTCATCAAAACAGTAAATGCCTTTTATGGACCGGTCTGGAAGGAGTCCGTTGTCTTGGCCACTTGCTTTTCACCGAGCTGCCGTACCTGATACTCACAATTTAAAGGACAGGGTTGCTTTGGCCCATGGTTCCACGCATGGCCTGCTGGCTCCTGTGAGGTCTCATGGCAAAGGGGCATAGCGGAGGAGAGCTTGGGGAGCAGAGAGCACAGGGAGGAAAAGGGGAGGGGACACGCTCTTCCAGGTCACAACCCCGTTAACCCACCTCCTCTCCCATCAGGCTCCACCCCTGAACAGCCCACTTGGCTATAAACTCCATCGGCGGACTGACCCGCTCACGAGTGTCCCTGGCCAGTCACCTCCCCAGAGCCCCATGTGTGAGCTCATGCGATTGGGCTCGGGACATCCGGGTGTAAACCGCAGCACCCTTCTATGAGATCTTTCTACCAAGCGGCCTTTCTGTCCCAGTTCCAAGTGTAGTGACTGTGTGTCTCCTGCTGGCCACTAGGGGGGGCCTCTCTCCTGCTCTCCTCCTTTTCCTGGTTTGACACCAGGGCTTGATGGTTTCTTGTAATGTCAGACCCAGATTTGGAGAAGTTTCCACTTCTGAGCCAAGAAGCTCCCGCTGGGCTGTCACCCCGATCCCGAGTGCACCACCAGGAGAGGAGGCTTACGGCAACGGGGTGATGCCCAAAGGGAGTGAACCCTCCACTAGATGAAGGAACATAGTTGTGCAATAATCCCTATCTGTGTGTCACCCTCTTTCATAACTTCCCACTGTCAAAACAAGCCACAGTTATTTCTGGCAGTAAGATTTTTCACTTCCTTTTGTTGTGTTTTTATCACAGGTTAACTGAGCGCATCCCTTCTTGGCCGCCTGTCTTTGTTATGAAGGAGTTACTGGGGTTGTGGGGACAGTTGTCCATGGTGGTGGTTGTTGTGGTGATGTGGTGCTGTGCTGGGTTGTATCAGAGAAGGGAGATAGTGCGGAACGGCACACCAGGTGACTGCTACCCAGCAGGGAGTGGTAGTGCTTGCAGATACCAAATACCTTTCTAAATGTGCTTCATTTCTATAGTAAATGTGAAATAATACAGGTGAAAACTTAGTCTTCCCTCAGGCCCCATTGGTGCCTGTTCTTGCCCCGTACTTTTCTCTCTTTGTAGAAAAGTAGGCACGCAGAGGTGTAAACTCATGGGCACCCTGAGTCCTCTGCAAAGGATGTGAAGGAACATTGCAGTCCAGGCTCGGCACTGCTCCCGGCTTGAGTCTCCCTGTGCGCGGGCTGCCTCCCTTCCTCCCGCTGCCTCTGAGCTGCTCTGCGTGGCTCCGGGCACAGGGTGAAGCCCTCCTCCTGGGTCTGTAAAGAAGAGAATGATGGGCAGTGCTGCTCAATCTGACATCTCTCCTGTGCAGTTGGCTCAGTCGTATAGCTTCTAGACCTCCGTGTTTCACTTTACATATTTTCATTTTGGCTATAAAATTAGGTCAAATTATTGTGTCTTTGATATTTTTCTTTATTCTGTTTGAGTCTGTATTAATTTCTTTGACTGGGGTACCTTGGCCTGCAAGCCTCTCATCTCCACCGTAGGAAACGAGTACAAGGCTAAGCGTCTGTCAGCAAACTTCGGATTGCGGTACGCTTCAGTAATTGCCTTCAAATGCAGTAAGGAGGTTTTGGATTTTATGAAATGCTTACAAATGGTGGCTTTAGGGAAATTAACCTATTTCAATATTGAATTCCAGATTCCTACGTATTAACACATCTGTCTCCTGCCATTTTTATTTCAGTACCTACTAGAAATGAAAAGCTTAATCCTACCCCCAGAACATATCCTGAAGAGAGGAGACAGCGAAGCGATAGCGTATGCCTTCTTTCATCTCGCACACTGGAAGAGGGTCGAAGGGGCTTTGAATCTTCTGCATTGCACATGGGAAGGCAGTAAGTAATTTTCTTTCTTTGACATATTTCCTAAGAACATAAAAATGTGCTAACCTGTTTTTTGCCCTGAGTACTCCCGGTGAATTAATAGAATCTGCACATGTCTATTCCTGTTTTCTGTGATGGCCCATTGCTAAGAGGGGTAATTAGTTAGGCACTCCAGTCCCCAGCAGTGTCGGTGTCACCATGGTGCTGCCGCGTCCAAAGCCAAAAAGACAAATGTATAGAGTGCGACTAGGCCTGGTGCTGGACTCTGGTTACTGCTTCTTGGTGTCCTTGTGGGGAGCGTTGGCTGGGAGCTACAGTTGGAGCTCCGCTGGCCATGTACAGAGGCACGCATTTCAGAGCAAGAGCAGTGGCCGTGGGGGCCTAGTTTTTAGTGAGCAGTGTAGCATTGTTATGATTGGAAAAGTGCCTGGTAGATGGACGTCGGGATAAGGCTGAAAGTCGCGCTCCACAGATACTCTGTCCTCTTGAAGGAGAGGGGGCACTAATGGTGGTGCCTTACCCTGGAGAAGCATGTTTTCTGGTGGGAAGAACAACAGCAGCGTATGGCGGTTGCTGGTGATTTTTCAGAAAGGAGAGGTCTGTGGGGTGGAGCAGTCGTGGGTAACCTTATGAGTCAGATAAGGGTTGAGCCAAGGCACGAACAGCTCAGATAGCAACGTGAGCAAGGGTCCTGAGTGAAGAGATGGTAAGTGGTGGGCTCACGGGGGAAATGTAATTAAGGAAAAACCCAAGACTGTGGAGCATTAGACCACATGTGCTCTGAAACTCTGCCAATGTTAATTTAAGCAAAACAAACCCAACGTAGGAATTTTTCTCTCATGGAAAAACAAAATAATAAATATTAGAATCTTCTGATAATTTTTTCCTAGTTCATCCCTGCTCTGTTTAGTCTCACAAACAAGTGTCTTTTAATCCTTTCCACTCTGTTTATCTTTTCCACTTCCATTTTCATTTTGTAATCTGCTCCTTCCCTTTCCTGCCCTTCTGTAACCCAGCAAGAAGCCAGCTCTGTGCAGGAAGGGAGGGAACAGCGCATAATGGGTGGAGTAAAAACAAACTGACAGAGATGGAGTCCAAGGTGATGGATAGGTTTATCGTCATTTTGAAATTTTTCTTTAGAGAATGAATAATGGGTTCACTTACATAATTTACTGTTTATACCTTGAAGGATCCACCCTTACTCATAAGTGTAGATGACACACCGGTACCAACAACTGTATTTGGATATGTGAACACATACCGCACTCCACTGAGAGGGGTAGTAGGTGAGAGAGAGCCGTGATCCCTCTGGCTTGAGTTCATTGTTGTCTATAGACATTCTATCCAAGAGAGACAAAAGAAATTTTCGTCCAAACATGAAAAAGAGAGCTGAGTGTGGTGGTGCACCCTTGTAATCCCAGCCCTTGGGAGGCCGAGGCAGGAGGATCATTTTGAGTTCGAGGCCAGCCTGGGCTACAAAGTGAGCTCAAGGCCAGCCTGAACTGCATAGTGAGACCCTGTCTCAAAAAGACCAAAGAAAAAAAGAAAAGAAAAGGTCTGAAAATCCCAGCCAAATTGAACATGAGAAACCTCATCTAGTGTTAAGTATTGTGAGAAAATTATACAAACAAATTGTATTTTCAAAGAAGAACATATTTGTAGATTGGCCTTTTGGATACAGTAATAGAACTTATCAGTTGGATCCTATTAAGATTCAGTTTCACAAGAAGGGCTGGGGCGGGGGAACAAGGCAGACACATTAAGAATGGCATCACCGTAAACAGTTAACACCCATGGGGAGTAGCTGGAAATTCTGTTTAGAAATCAGTCATCAGTTGATAATGGAAATTCTCAGGCCTCACTGCAAAGGATAGTGAGACAGAAATGTGAAGTGACGTAGGGGGCTACAAAATCGAGCAAGCGTGTTTGGGAAGAGCCAATCACCTCAAATTAGATTATCGGAATACTTTATTAGGATAAAGAGAAGAGATGAATTTTTAGACATAAATCAGTATGGTAAGGAAATCAAATACTACATAAGAAGGAAACTCGGCGTTGGTCCCTACAGATAAACAGTTCCTGTGAAAATCAGGCATCGGTGCTCCTGGGCTAAATCAGTTACACGGCCATTCAGTTTTCAGAGCGCTCCGACATTCAGCTGTAGAGAAAGAACTGTGAGGAGGCCTACCACGTGCTGCCTGAGAGTGCCAGGAACAATAGTGTTGCTATGACCGGGTGACTTACGGATTTGAATGTACATCTTTTCACTTTCTCCACCTGGTAGTGTTCCGAGTTAAGCAAGACAGAAATGGCCGTCTCAATTTTTTAGGAGAAAAACAGAATCAGTGAGATGGGCAGCTTGTTGAAGTCTTGTACCCACCGTTGATAAAGGCAGGAGGTAAATCCAGGTTCATTTTCTTTCACAGCGCAAAGTAGATTAAATATGAGAAGACCAGTCATCTCTGAAACCTTTGTGTGGGCATCTGCAGTTTAAATTTATTATCACTGCTCCCAGGGTAGTTTATACTTACTGCAAGTGGTCCCTTTCGAGTGTTTAGAAAGTTAACCATTCTGTATGAAATCATACTTTCTTGTTTATTATTGATTCTAACATTTTAATATGAGAATACTGAATAAGACAAATTTTTATAGAATAGTCTATATGTCTAAGCAAAGGAAAGAGACCAAAATAAATATACCTGTCTTCAGTAGTGATTGCTGAGCTGCGGATTTTTTGTTCACATTTGTGATTTTCATATTTTCTGCAGTAACTATTTATTTCCAGCAAGCGTAAATACATACACTTATACTTGGAAAAATAACTTCATCACAAATGCTTTTTGGTCCTTTTAAAAAACAAAGCTGTCGGTCAGCGGTAGCAAACCTTTGGCACGCACGGTGCGGCCAGCTATTTGTTACCCTTGAAAGCTCTGAAAGGCCCACCATCACGGCTATAGGTCTTCCATGCAATTCGGAAGAAATACAGTGATTACCTCTCCAACTCCAGAAAATTGTCTGCAATCTTTCGACGTTACTTCTAGAACGGTGTCTATTCTAAGTTAAGGAGGAGTTTGGAGCTCTGCATTTTAAATCAGAGGACTTAGATTAGAATTCTGACTGAGCTTGTGCTGGTATTTGCTTAACCTGCCTGATTTTTGGAAACCCTAAAGCACTGATGCTATTGAATGCCATAGGCTAACAAATAGCTTCAGGGCAGTTGCCTCGCTCCCTCAGGAAGTCTGCAGTATTTCCCCGGCAGCCTGGGCCTGCGCAGAAGGGCTGCACTTACCCCCGTGCACCACTTGGTGGTGCCTTTTGACACGGCCAGCCTCAAAATTTCTATTTTCTCCTCTGAAATTTTTTTCTTCATTCTGAAGTTTAAGGCCATTCCCTAACTCCCACCCAGCTTCCCCTTTTCATTAGGACAAGAACTCATGGTACCTAATTTCACCATGTTCCATATTAAAAATGATTATTAGGTTACCTTTTGGAGATTTTTTTTAAAGTCTTAGTTCTGTCAAAAGCATGGATTAGAAAGTAAGCGTGGAATGGTTTTTCTGTTTATTTTTGGTTTTATTTTTCTTTTGTTGCTTTGATTTTGATTTGAGGATTTGTTTTTTGTTTTGTAGGGTTTGGGGTTTGTTTTTTTTTTTTTTGCCTTTTAATGAATTTATTATGTTCGAGCATTAGTCATCCTGTGAAACTGAGTTTTCCATCAAGTCAAGCTGAAAAAACTCCCATTTTTTATAAAACCCCAAAGTCCAGCTGATGCATAGCAGAGATTGTTTGTGTTTGAAACATATGGTAGTTAAAGAAAAAAAAAAAGAAAAAGAAAGAAAAGCTGAACCCTCAGCCACAAATACATCAGCATTTCAAAGGTTTCCAAAACGTTTGATTCATCACTGTCCCAGGCCCTGAAATTACACAATGTGTTCCTCAAAGTCAAGGTAACTAAGAAAAGGGAAAAGATTTAATTTATACGATTATATAATTAGTTTCTTGTACTATTCCACAGCTGCCACGTTATCTGAATTATGCTTATTCTAAACAGTGCCGGTTCTGGTTCTCCTCACACGCAGGCACTGTGAGTACGAGTGGTGCGGAGAAATGAACAGCAAGTCTTGTTTCAGTCGGGTCTTGCAGTGACAGTGTGCCCCCCAGAGCCCTGTGTTCAATGGCCCATCTCCTGTTTTACCTTGGTAAATACTTAGCTCCCTCCTACCCTGATCTCTGCAAGGCTCTGGTTTTGGCTCTATTTATTTCATAAAGCAGGGTTGTCTGCTGACCACAGCTGTGAACTTTTAATTTTCTACTTCTGTGTATCAGAAAGACTGATGTGCCATGGGGTAAATCGCTTAGCCTCTCTTCGTTTCTCCTTTTTTCTGCTTGACCAACTGAGACTCTTTGTTTTCGTTTTGGAGATTTCTTTCCTCCAAAGGGCCCACTAAATAATGTATAAGATTGAAAGTGGTATTCTGAGAAAAGGGCCCATTGTTGAAACATAGGATGAGACTGTGATTCTGATTTATTCTCTTTGAACCTAAGGCCGCGTGCCCCTCGCTGTTAAGATGTGGTTCTTCGGGCGCTTCCTCTAACCAAGTCTTTCCTCCATAAGTTTCCTCCATGGACCTTTTGGACTTGTACAGAGAGAATCCGCCCTGCCTCCGCAGAGGTCCACGGCTACATTTCATAACGTGTGAGAAACGCTGATCAGATAAAGTCTCTGGTCGGAACTCGCACACCCTAGGCACCAGTCCTCAGATGCTGCACAGCGATGCTCCCCTAGCTACTGCCCAGTGGAACTGCCTTGCTCCGTTCCTTGTTTCAGTGTCCATATCAGTCCCTCATTTGGAGGCATCCAAGTTTTGTTTCCTCTTGTTTTTGTTTTTCTTAAGAAATGGGGTCCCCTAATGTTACCCAGGTTGGCCCCAAACGCCTGAGTTCGTGTGGTTCTCCTGCCTCAGCCTGTCCTGTAGCCACTGCACCTGGCTTGACCTCAGTTTCTAAAGGGAAAATTTTCCAGATTATGTATTAATTTATTCATTCCTTTATTCAGCAAATATTTATTGAGCTCTTCTTTGCATTAGGCGTTGTGTTTGGGACCAAGTAAAAGAGGGAAAAGCTTTGTGACGAGGGCAGGGAACCAAGTCCACGAACAGCCCTAGTACAAGGCTGATTACAGTGAGTGCCCCAAAACTGATGAGGCAGTGGGGTCGGGAGGCACAACCAAAGAACATCAAAACTGAAGTGCAGACTGCGGCAGAACACAGCGTCTTTCGCTTCTAATAACTGGAGCCATACTTTGGACTTCATTTTTCCTTAGTTTGCAGTGAAATATCCCACAAAAGTTGGTCGTCATGGCTGTTACTTACATCACAGTCAAAACTAGATCATAAAATTTGCATTTGGATGACAATTATCTGTTTTGCCACTTGCATTGCTAGTTGTTAACAAATAGGCAGCATTTTTACTTAGGGGGTGTGACCTGACAGAAGTAGAACCTTTGGTAGAGAGGGAAGGTACAGAGAAGCCTGACTGCTCAGGAGGCATACACTGTCAGCGGACGCCTTGGCCTCTGTTGGGCTTGGACCCTTCACCAGCGTTTTGCGGTCCGGGGGATTCTCATTTTGCAGATGAGAAAGTGGACACCGCCTGGCGCCCTGTCCCTTCCCTCCCCGAGACTTGCACAGCACTGCCTGTCGCTCGTTGGTGTCTGTATCACAGTGGACACTGTTACATTTACTTTCAAGATTCTTCGATCATGTTTGCTTGCCCACAGGAGTAGCCTGGACGAGCAGGTGGCATGAGTGCTTTGTATCTTTACCTTTGTATCTGTGTTTCTTGAGAAGGCACCCACGTTTCCACCAGGGAGGGATTGTAAGAGCTAGAGCTGGGAGTCAAACTCAGCTCTCACTATACAAGTAATTGTACCGTCCTCTGAGATCCTCTTGGAAAAGGTAACATAGACTGTCAAAAATTGCCGCCTGTCCTTGTCTGTATAGTGGATGGGTGGAAGATCATTGGTTTGTTCACGTATCCAACCTTCTACCCATTCTTGGGTCTGTCAGTTTTCTCAGCAGTGCTGGTGGAGCACCTTTAATGCAGACAGCTCAGATAGCCTTGGAGCCTGGAAAATCCTTCTGTGTAGGGATGGAGGAACTCAATGTCCTGCCTGGGACAGATTTGGAGGGTGTGATTTTGACCTAACCAAAATCAAGATGGGGAAGGGATGGCACGCGAAGGAAAATGCAGAAATGTGATTTGTATGCCATGTATTAACTCAGTAAACATACATATATATTTAATTTCTCTGAAATGTGTTTTTTCTCAAAGATTTGTAGGCATTCTGTAATCATTGATAAAACAGATCTGTTCAAATCACTTTTTTCCATTCTTTTTGTGCCACCAGCTCTGTGTGTTCTCAGCACCGCACTTGCAGGTCCGGCTGCGTGGGCAGTGCCGAGGCTCCCCAGAGCAGCCCCTTCTCGGCAGTGAAGGGACCGGGAGGTGGGAGCTGAGGCTGGCAGAGCTCAGGAGAGGCCTCTTCCCCACCCCTTTCCACGTCTCCCTTATCTCACACTCTGTTGGACCCCGCACAGCAGGGTGGGAAAAGGATAGAATTACAAGCAGAAATTGTATTTGCTTTTGTTTAGTGAAGCCAAGAGCCTTAATATTATTTTATGAACTCAATGTAAATGCCAGCTGACGTGAGAGAGATCTTAAAAGCATTGTAAACATCTTTACAATCATTAGAGGGAGAGCAGTGCAGGAGATGTATATTATCTGTAACTGAATGTCCTCAGTATCTACCTTCTTTCAAAAAGACAGCAGCCAGTTAGAGGAAGAAAAAACAGATTGATGCACAGAATTCTTTATGCATGCCAAGTACTGGAAGAAGAATTCAGCATTTGACTGAAAAGATACTAACCAACCGTTAGATTTCGATGGTTGAACACTGAAGATCTTGCACTCCTATATTTCATTTAAAATGCCGTTCCCTCAAGTGCAAACCTGCTTCAATTTTGAATAAAATTTAGGACTCAAATTTATAACCTCTTTGAAAACTGAAGTTTTATTTATATCACATGAACCTGTAGGGATTCTTTAATTATAGACGCCTGGTCACACATGGAGAACCTGAATTTTTTTAAAAACCCAACTTCCATATATGGTTTCCACATTTTTTGGATGCTTTCAAAGCAGCTATCATTTATGGAAAATTCAGCCGTCCTGTAGTTTAAATGCAAAATCAGTGCTTTCCAGTGTATGCTATAAAATAACTAAAAAAGGTTTTTGTTGTTGTTGGGGGTTTCTTGGTTTTTTGTTTTGTTTTCCTTTTGGTTTTTGTTGTTAGCGTTCATTCTCTTGAAAGTGTGGGTCTGTGAGAGACGCTGGTTCCTTCCAGGGATCTTTGCGTGTTAACAAACTAGGAAGGAACTCTCCTCTTGCTTGTCCTAATGGGCAAAAGTCATCTTGGCCTGAAATGAAAGATCTTACTGAACTAGCGTGAGCCTTTCGTTTTAAGAAGAGTTAAAGTCAGGAGTGTTTTTAATGTTTTAATCTCTGTTTAAGAGGTTTGTGTTACGAGAGGGAAATTGATAACATTTTTACCTCAGCAAACTGCCAGCAGACGGGCTGTGCTCTGACCCCACATTCGCAGTGATTTATATTCTCCGTGGCAATGCGCTGCAACCTCAGAGTGGTACCACTGTGGCGCAGACTGACTGCATTCCAAATGCCGGAATCACATACATAATGCTTTTACTTTTAAATAATATTCAGACACCAGAATAAATACCATATGTGCGCTGATGCTGTTACAATGGGACCTTGTCATTTCTTGTGAAGGAGAACACTCTTTGTTTCTGATTCCTGTTGGAAATAAGTGTGTAAAAAGTAAGTGTGTACATTGACAGCATTTCAAGGAGACTTTGGCAATTACACAGCGGGGGATGCAGCTACTGTTCCTTCAGATGTGGCGCTTAAAAATGCTGCTGTGTGTTGCCACTGTCCCTCCCTGATGTGTGTGAAAGTTAGGGCTGTTATCTGTGAGCCCAGCGCAGGAGTCACTCGGCTTTCGTGTTCTCTGTCTGCGACGTGCCGTAGTTAAAGGACATCCGCTGCAGAAAAATTGCCTCTGCGAACACGGCTCATAGAAACAGTGAGACTAACATGCTGCTGACATTGTGAAAGGGAGAGCAGCACGCTCGGTAATGGAAAGCGACGCACTGATTGGAGAGCCATAATTCAGCGTGAGCCCCGATGTCATCTGATGCCACAGAGCAGAATTTAGGTGGCCTGACATCATCAAAATACAGATCACCAACCTCCCCAGGTCCATTTTCCCCACGTGATATTGAAGATTTAAAGGTTTCATAAAGTTTAGAAATACCTCTCAAGGCATGTGTGTTTAGATTTTTGTTTTTATCCATCTTGGTTAGAATTCTAATCCATTTAGACATATTTTTTTAAATGGATGTGGGTAGAATGCCTTTCATATTTGTGTATCTGTAATACGCTCCAGTAAGTCAGTCCAAATTTTTACTTCTTAGGGGAACATTTCTGTCCAGGTTTATAGTATTACCGTTGGATGAACTATATTGAATTAGTGCTTATAGCATTTTTATAATACTTTATAGATGATGAGATCCTAGGCATTGATATTGATGACTTCCCTACCCCGCTGCACCTCTATTCCCACCCAGTTTTGTGAGGTTTGCCCAGAATATATAGTATGAAATTAATGTGTGAGTAGTATATCATATTGTATCTCTGACATTTTATCTGGCACATGACTCAGAGTTTGGGTAAGTCTTGCCTCCCTAATAGGAGTGTTCCCTGTTTTCAGAATGCTCAGAAGTCTCTTTCTGAAGTTGGGAATTTATGAGACAAACCTTAAACCTCTAATATATTGTCTCTCTTTTTCAGCTTTTCGAATGATCCCTTACCCCTTGGAAAAGGGGCACCTATTTTATCCGTACCCAATATGTACAGAAACGGCAGACCGGGAGCTGCTTCCCTGTAAGTGTCACCTTTCCGTAGTGCTTTCCTCAGGCAGGAAGGGTGGCGTGCCTAAAGGTGGGGACGGGAAGAAGTGGAAATGATAAATGCTCGTAATGTTCTTTGTCTTTTATTACTTTTCCCCAACTCTGGCCTTATTTGATAGCACGTGTATTAAAATGAGTTATGTGACTAGGGGGAGACTAACTTCCTGCTCCTCTGTCTCTCCACATTCATCAAAGAAAAGATACCAAAGGACTGAAATTTAGGAGAGGGCGGCATCACGTATTGATTGGCCTAAGCACAGAGAACCCCAGTGTGGGGCTCGTCCTCGCCGCGCTAGACCACAGCGTGGGGAGCGGCTGGCGGGGCTCCTCGCGGGTCCTACGGGGTCTGCACAGACGAGTTTGGGAGGAGCTGCTGACCTGAGAGGAAGCTGCTGATGAGTCATGGATGGCAGAGCAGCGCCAGGATACTGGCATCCCTGCCAGAGGCGGGGGCCTGGGGCAGGGCGGTGCGCCCTGTGTGGTGAGGCGGTGCTCTTGGCCCAAGGGTTTCCTTGAGCATCTTGGGGACTTTTCCTAGTGAGCTGGCTGACATGTGCAGAGCACACGTGCAGCCTCGGCCCTGTATAGAGGCCCAGGGAAGGAAAACCCTGCCCTTGAGGACCTTCCAGGCCAGCTATCTAATGGCCCACACCACATGTGGAAAATATTATTTTGGCTTATTGTAATTCAACATTGTTTTGACCATTCAGCCTAAATAGTTATTATCAAATCATAGTGTGTATGAGGATCGGTGTCCAGGCTCTTCATGTAGCCCTGACTTAGAGCGTATTTTTCTCCCTAAGATAATAAGCTCCAAATTTTGGCTCTTCTCTCTCCCCTGTTCTCTCTCTTACCACTCTCCCGTTTTACCAGCCCCAGTTACGTCAATATTTCACAGCTCTGATGCATATAAGTACTTTGCTTGGAGGAACTCTGTGTGCATAGTAAATGTGCAAACACCAGCATCACTGAGCCGGTCCTGAATCTCCAACATGGCGGGGTCTGGGTCAAAGCTAAATGGCTGTGGTCAAGGCGAGGTAGCAGGAGGTACCTCACTTGTTTCCTGGTGAGCCAGGCCCACCATGAGATTTTTTCCCTAGGCAACTGGGAGATCTCAGCAGTGTGTTCCCTCTCCAGGTTTTATTGTAGAAAAGATCTGGTTCCTCACATGACATTAGATTTGGTTTTAGCAGCCCCTACCATGGGCCCATTGTTTACTTTTTGACTCCCCCTTCAGGGAGATCCTTGTTAAATTTTCAATTTTCTGTTAAGGCAGTTTTCTGAAAAGTACAATGTTTTTAAATGTTTTAATTGAGTCCAATTAAGTTTCCATGGGGATGGATTAGCTATTAGAGCAAGATTACAGTTCTTAAAAGAAACTTTATAGGGATAATCTTTATAAGCCTGAAATAGAAAATTATGGCTCACATTTATTTAATTGAATGTCGCGGTCCAAGTCTGATCTTTCTCCAAAATATTTTTTGAGATTGGGTTTTGTAACTGAGATGAAGAAGGTTGGTTATTTTAAATGCTACCTGTATTTTTTATGTTATAAGCATAACTATCGCCATGTTACACACCAAGTGCACATCTGCCTTATGTTGAGCCCCAGCCAGCTGGTATACCTAGTATAGGTATAGGCACTGGGGGACAGACTTCTGTGCTTTGGCCCTCCCTGGTCCTCTCTACTCTCAGTGCTAGTTAGGACCCTGAGTAACAAGGGTTTAATGATTAAGGAAAGGCTGGTTGCTCTCGTGTTCTCTGAGGAGAATGGATTATTCAGATATCAGAGTGGCAGTATTTCTCACTTGTTTTACAGCCTCTTCCACTTCCCTCCAGGCAGCTGGTTCTTGCTCCTGTGTGCAAGGAGCCCCTGGCATCCTGGCCATCACTTCCCTCACCCCAGACAGTGGTGGGCGGTCCCATGCTGAGTGGCAGGGGCAGTCACTTCTCTCGGATTTTGTACCACAGCTTTTTGGCTTTCTCAAACCAGTGGTTAAGGTTAGGAAAGACACTCTAAAGAACACTAGTTTTGCTTTTTTTCCGGTGATTGTTGTAAGTGTATTCATCATGAAGAGTCTCTTACTCTTGTGCCAGATAACCCTAGCAACCTTGACCTTCACCCGTTGCAGGTTGAATAGGCCAGTGTGTGAGGTCCTGGCTGAATGTCTGTCAGGTCACTGACATACTTAGAGTGTGCCAGGAAAAAATACAAGATAAACTAATGTCTCCTCATAATAATTTAAAAAATACAGGAAGGTGAAAGTGTAGGTGAGATTTTTTTTCAATATGCTTGATTTTGAATTTTCCAGGTTTTATACAGTGAGCATATATTTTGTAAATTTTGTGGTTTTGTGGTCACCTTTGAGAAAGGAACAGTACCTATTAGCCATAGGTTTTGCTATTATTCCTGCCCAGAAATGTGTGACATCTCCAGATTAGCCTCTTCCAGCCAGAGTGGAGGTTGCTTGTGGATGTGAGAGAAGCAGGTTCATAGCCGGAGGCGATGTCTTACGTGGGCTGTGGGTTGTCAGGGGTTCTACCCGCTGTATTCCCGACCGGCTTTAGCAAAGCCCTGAAGAATCCGTTCTGCCATACTGAAATTGCCAATGGTGCTTTTCCCTCAAGCCCTGATGTTTCCCTTTGGTCTTCGCAGCTTTCCATGAAGTCTCAGTTTACCCAAAGAAGGAGCTTCCCTTCTTTATCCTCTTTACTGCTGGACTGTGCTCCTTCACAGCCATGCTGGCGCTCCTGACACATCAGTTCCCGGAGCTTATGGGGGTCTTCGCAAAAGCTGTGAGTATTTGCCAAGAGGGCGACCTCAGGGAACGGGCCCGGGACGTCCCCTAAAAGAAAGGGGAGCCTGTCCCGCAGTGATGGTTATAGCCTGCAGAGAGCACTTGCTCACAGTTTAATTCTCACCCTCATCAGCAGAATGAAAGAATTAGGGGTCAAGTGAGAAAGTCCAGGCTGTTAATGCATGCCTCGCCTCGTTTCGCAAAACAGATTCTCAGCAAGTTTCCGAAAGTGTGTGAGGTTCAGAAGGATGAAATAATGAGGGAATTCTAGCCGATGAGAAACGGGTTGGAAATTACTCAGTTTTGCATATTGAATGGCATTATTTCTAATCTCTGGATTTGTGGATCTTTCCTTCATTGAAGGATGAGATGTACATTTCCAAAGATTATTTAAATGGTATAAACCTTTGGCTTGTTTGGGGAATGAACTGTGAGAGGTTGTGAACGCTTCTAGTATGAAGTTTACTGACATGACACTTGAAAATAAGGCTGTCTGATCAGCCACAGTCTTCAAAGAGAGTTGTGTAGAATTTTAATGAGAAAGTCATCTGTACTGACAGCTGAAAACCATTGTTTCCTTGTTGAAAATTGACCATTTCCGCCTGTTCATACAGTAAGGAGAAGTTTCCTGATTTTGCCACAGATAGGTTTCCAACAAAAGGAAGGAAAAGAGGATCAGTTGTTTCCCTGGAACTCCATTCAGATTTCAAAGAGAGTGGGATCCGAAAGGAGGATGTCTAACTTGGCTGGGTTGATTTAACCCCTTTCCAGATGATTGACATTTTCTGCTCAGCAGAGTTCAGGGACTGGAATCACAAGAGCATTTTCGTGCGTGTTGAAGATGAACTGGAAACCCCACCGGCACCTCAGTCTCGACATTTCCCAAACTGAGCTCATCACCCTTCCTCCCCCACCCCCCACCAACACTGCTTCTCCTCCCGTACCCCTGCCCTCCGCCAGTGGCCCTGCCGTCCACCCGGTTACTCGAGCCAGAAACTTGGCAGTCCTCCCAAACTTTTCCCTCTCTTACTCCCTGCGTGCTCTCTGGCTCAGCCTTCACACTCGGTCGAGCCTAAGGTCCTAAGCACCCAGGCGTTGGTAAATGTGACTTGCGTCGCTCTCCCGCTGTCCTCACAGCATCTCTTGGTTTAGGTCCTTGTGATTTCTGGCCTGAGCTCCTGTAATTGTCTTACGTGGGCTCCTTTTTTAAAGTCCGCTCCTCTCCAGCCTTTCTTTAATACTGACACAAGAACGATCTTTCTAGATTGCAGACCTAAGCCTGTCACCTCCCTGCTTGAATCTTTCCAGTGGTCTCCCAGCTGCTGCAGGATAAAGTCCCAATACTCCAGCATGACGCGCAGGGCCTGTGTCATCTGGCCCTGCTCCCCTCTTCAGCCTCCTCCTGCCCAGCTCTGGCCTAGACCTTGCTTTTCAGCCACGGACTCTTGCGCATCTCAGTGGCTTTGCGCATACTCTTGCTCCACATGGAATGCCCTTCACACTGCCACCCGCTTGTGTACTCGGCAGATGCCTCTTCGCGCTTCCACACTCAGCTTCCTTTAAGCTTCTCTGAAGCCGAGTGAGGTGTCCCTCCTCCGTGACTCCACGTATTCCATGAATGCCTATATTAACACGATTGTTGTTCTGTATAATTGTTGGAAAATTGTCCCCTTTTAGAGTGTAAGCTTCTTGAGAGCAGGACTGTGTCTTCCTGGTCTCTGTATCCCCAAAGCTTCGCACAGTGCCTTGCACAGAGTAGGTTTTCAGTAAATGTTTATTAAATGAATAAACAGTAATGGTCTCTGCAGAAAGGATCAGTGTAAAAGATACTGCTTAGTATTTCTTCCCTTCCTTTATGCTTACAAACACAGACTTAAAGCCGAAGGGACCCTGAACGAGTACCTTCCACGTACCCGGATGGAGGCGCACTGGGCGCATCTTGAATACTTTGAGGTACAGGCACTCGCGGGTTTAACATCAGCCCACTTCATTGTTGAGTCGTTCCGAACTTACTGTGCTGCTAAAGTCTGTCCCCTTTAATTTCTTCTCATCATTTCCATCTTCTCTTCTCCACGTACGCCAAACAAGTCCACTTCCTCCTGCAGAGTCATAGGGCTGCTCATCTGTTCCTGGCCACCTGAACATCTCACTGCCTTCTGTCTGCTCCAGGCAGAGCATCCTGGTTTCTGGGGGTCTTTTCTGTTTGAGCAGAGGTTGTGTAGGTTTCTGAACCCATGGTCACCCAGGCTGCCACGTGGGGTGTTCCTTAATCTACAGACCTACGCTGTTCAGTGTTTTCTTCTCTATAGCCACCCGTTCAGTAAAAGTAGTTGTCAAAACTCTGAAGAGATTAGAGTGCAGCTTAGCAAAGTGTAAAATAAGATTATATTTATAGCAGTAGACAATTACTTTCCTTCTTTTATGTTTCTCCCTTTAACATTTTAAAAATGTGTTTATGAAAGTATCTCATTGGTCCACTGTTCATCATTAAAATAGCCAATAGCATTTGGAGGCAGTTTTGGGCCAGTCCAAGGATTCTAGCCTGTGGGTGCATAAACTTCACTTTGCCATACCACCGAAGTGCAGCGTGTTGACGTTGCTACCCAGAAGTGTGTGTTTCTAACGACCCCACTAGACTGTGTATAGGAGTTGAGGATCGTATCTTCTTTCAAAGACGGTCTCATGAGAACTAAGCTTTAGAGCAACCATTTAGTGCTGCATAGTGGGCTGTCAAAGTTGTTCAGGCGAAAAATTCCCAGGAGTCAGAGGGTTCAATTTGGCTATACCTTGGAATCATAACGGGAGCTTAAAAATTACTGGTGCCCCCCTCAACGGCTGTTTACCTGACCGGACAGCAGCATGGACATCGGAATTGTCAGCTGCTCCCAGGGTGCTCTGGTGTGCAGCCAGGGCTGAGACACACAGAACAGAATGAAGGCTGGCGAATTGAGGCTGTTCTCCCCTGCGAGGGACCTGGGCGGGGTGGGAGAAAACAGTGTGACTGGGCATTTTCTGGAAAGCTTGCACATTGGTCCCTGCGGAATATTGGAGGCCGAGTTCATTATGGATATTAGACAAGAGGTCACGCTCCTTATTGAAGTTTCCAAAGTTTGGTGTTGAGTTTAGGGTCAAATGATTGAATATACAATTGCCTTTTGGGCCCTTACGTCCTACCCAAGTGTGGTAGATGGTCAGCTCCCTGTGATTTTCAAATGTAGTTTTATTAAATTTGCCTTTAAACCTCCTCCTGGAGGACCATCACAGCCATCACGCCCTTCCTTAAGGTCCAGCAGCTTCAGAATGCCGGGCGAGACTGGGGGAGGGGCTCGGAAGACGGACGGCCTGAGCCGAGTCTGTCTGCCCGCTTCTCCCGGCTGCACCCTGCTCGCTCCTCGGCCCCAGCCCACATCCCGCAGCTTATCACTGCTGCCCTATAGGCTGCCTGCAGCCATTTGCAGCAGCGTGTGAAAGTGATTTTCTCAGCATCTCCTAAGATAATGGCCCTGCTGTAATGACTCTTAGCAGATGCGGAGAGATTGCGGGGCCACCCGCCAGGCTACACAGCTTGGGAGCCGCCAGTGTGTTTACACAGTGACTTGCAGCAATGAGAAGGCTCCCCGCCCAGGGTGAGCCACTGGGAAACAGTGAGAGGAGAGGTTTCAGCCCGCTTTTCCCTCTAATCTAATCTACCTCCGTGATTTAGGATTAACTCTTCCTGAATGTTTGGTTACCAAGATAAGGTTGCTCATATAAGTAAGTTACCGTTGCAAACCCAGCTCCTCGCAGAATGCGGGAAGGTCACCATTCTGCCCTTCTGCTCTGCAGGGCCCTGTCTTGGCTCCTCTGGTCTCTCTCCTTCCCTGAGACTGAGCTCCCTGACTTCTGACTCATCTTCATTCATGGGCCCTGACCTCTTGGAAGTCTGATATTGATTATAGCGAGATGTCAATTGCCTGCTTGCAGCAGGGCACCTGGAACTTATTCAGATAAGCGGAGGCGCTTCTAATGGGACTGCAGGCTGGGGGGAGCCGTGACCTTCTTCTAGGTGATGGTGTTTCAGGAGAAGGAGGAGCCAGCGATTGAAGTGTCATTCTCTCTTTTTTATTAGTTCTGTTGCTTTTTCTCACCACAGGACACTGGCTGAATTATGGGGCATTCTGGTTAAAACTTTAACCGTGTATCTCTGCCCCCCGGACAGAAGTTTTAGATGCTGAGATAGATGGGCTGTTCCAGGTTGCCTGGTTTTGCTCATTCAGACTTAACTTTTCAGGCAATAAATTTCCCCCTCAGTCTGGACGTGAAACTGCTGTGTCTCTTTGGGCATGGGTTAGGGCTCTGGACCAAAAGTATTGATTAATTTTCAGACATCTAAAGAAATACAACTGAGCATCTCACAGCATTCTGCCGAGCAAGACGTGCTGCCCTGAACTTCTGAAAACGTTCCCTGGTGAAAGCCAGGGACCTTGATCTGGTGGCTAAGGGAAGGGTGAGTGGCGGCCAGGGTCTCTGCACGTTTTCGGCCTCTTCCTCGTGAGCGTGGGCGGGACGGGATGTGGGGCTGTGCTAAGGAAGGAGGTGGCTCACTCCCAGAGCGGCGCATACCTCAGTTTGCGTTCTGCCAGAGGCTGAATCAGGCTGTGAGGAACAAAGCTCAAGGGAGCCTGTCTCAGTTACGTGGAGGATGGAAACTTGGAGGTGTGAGAGGGAGAAGTAGGCCGTCACATGCAGGGGAGCCGTCGGGGCTTCATTCTCCTCAGCCTTGTCGCGGAGGGCACGCACGGCCCAGGAAGGAAGGCTGCTGCGTTTTACCATGCAGAGTGCGGACGGGAGGCAGTTACGAACGTCAAGCGTGGTGAAGCCATCCCCCTGACTTTCAGAAGCCTCGCTTCTGCGCTTTTCATCCAGTTGGGTCTGTGTCGAACCCAAAGGGAAGTTTTTACTTTGAACCAACTGAGTAACATCCCCCTTCACTCCGCGCCCCAGATCCGGTGCCCTGGCGCCCTGCGTCGGTGTGGGTGGGCTTGGAGCGATGACTTTCAGATAGTTGCGCAGGCTCGTGATAACATTCAGCAGTCCCTTCCCCGCCTCACAACAGCAGCAGCTCTAATCTGGTTCCAGTCCAGGCTAAGATATGATAACCACCAACCATGTCACCTTGTTTATTGAGCCCCGTCTGCCGACACCTATCAGACTCCTTGGTTTATCCAGACCCCTTTAGCACTTAGCTGACCGTATAGTGTTATACTGACTTAGTGCAATTGGTAGACTTGTTCCATATCATCCTCTTGCACAGGGCTTTGCTAAAGCTTTCTGAGGGAGCCTGCTTCCTACTGTACTCGTGGTGCCTCTAGTCCAGCTCTAACCTGACAAGGGTAGGCAGCCCTTCCTACTTTGTGAGCCTCACAAGTGTTGAAGTGTCCTGCGTATTCAGCAAAGGACAGTTTCAGGGTGTCAGACTGCCCGAAATCTAACACCGACTTGAGGAAAGGACCATCCCACCTTTGCTCAAGCACTAGTGTGGCTGTCTGTTCCCAACCGCAAATGTCGCTTGGTATTCAGGGCTGGTGTTGCCCAGTTTTTTTTGTACCAGGAATCGAACTCAGGACCTCGTGTTTGCCAGGCAGGTGCTGCACCGCTGAGTTAAATCCCTGGCCCCGCTCGGTATTTCTTCAGCCACAGTGAACCCTATTGCAGCTGAACTGAACTATTTACTGTCTTCTGACCACGCCGTTATGTTCTCGCTTCTGTTCTATTGGGCCCAGAGGGCCCTTCTGCTCGTATTTCTCTCCTTACCCTGAGGGTCTGCTGCCCTATTCGAGCCCATTTCTGTCTTTTGATACTCCAACCCCCACTGGAGTCTACTTCAGTTGACTCACTTTACAGAGGTTTTCCTCATCCCTTCAACAGGCTGTGTTCTCGTCCTGTTCTGAACCCTCCTGGCACTGGTCTGCGCTTGTATTCTGATTGCTGTCCTGGCCTCTTCGGTTATTACTTTCCTGTGCCTGCATCTTAATGGCTTTCCCCCTCTACCACGGGACTTTGAGCCTCCTGACAGTGGTGGCTTTGTGTCTCCCTTCATGTCTCACCTAGCACGTAAGTGTCCAGCTGAGCAAGTGTATTCAGTTGCAGATCGGAGAAACTATCTTGAGTTTCTTCCCACACACCTCACACTTGACGTTCCCGCCACCGTGGGTTGCAGGCCTTCGCGGTGTTCTCTGCTGTTCCTTTAAAGTGGGGAGGTCCTGAAGTCAGCGAGCTTGGGACATTTGCCCGCCATACGCCTTGCAGACCATCTGGCCAAGGGAGGAGCCTGGTTTACTTCCTGGAATGCGCTGTCTGCGGAACCCGTCTGCCCTCAGGGTCGCAGCTGCCCTGTGCGTGTGCACTCCCGCCTGCGCTACGCTTTAGGTCTTGGTGGGTTAGGCGGTGCTGTGCTGTGGACAAGAGGTTAGGCGAAGGGCCCCACAGCAAGAAACTGAGGTGTGGAGCCCCGGGCAACCCAGCGCTGGTTCTGAGCAGACAGAGGGCAAGGAGACCCTCCGCGTGCCCCTGTCCTCTCTGATGGAGACAGTGCGTCTCTTCTGCCAGACGCTGGCTGGGGTGTGCGGAGAAGCTGATTCCTCCCGAGTGTAATCAAAATGGATTTAAGATTAGAAAGTGACGACAGACCCCAAAGACCCTCTCAGAAGCCCTCGGTGGAGCAGCCTGCCTCCCTCTCCGCCGGCGCCTGTGAGGCTTGCCGCCAGCCAGGTCTGTCAGAAGTGAGCCCAGCCAGTGCCGGCGTTAGGGAGCGGCAGGGTCCCGGAGCAGTCCACGTGCAACAGACCTGACTTTTTCAGAGCGCGTTCTGCTCCCAGCTGGATGGGCAGGTGGTCGAAGCTGTCACCGTTTTCTGACTCTTCTGCTCACTTGCTGTCCGTCTGTCACTCCTGTCCGGTGACACTTCGCTTCTGCGTGGGCAGAAATCCAAAGGACTGGTAGGAACCTCGGAGCTGTAGCAGACGCTCCCCCGATCTGCCCGTGCTGAGGGCAGGGCTGGACCGCAGGGTGGACCGTGGCCCACGGCCCCTGTAGACGAGAAGGTGACCACAGCCTCGTGCAGCCTCACAAGACGCCGGCGTGGCTCGCAGAGGTTGGCTTTCTCGGCTTCAGCATCGTCTCTCCTGACTGCTCTGTCTTTCTGGTTTTTTGCAGTTCCTCAGCACTTTGTTCGCCCCCTTAAACTTCGTCATGGAGAAGGTGGAAAGCATCCTCCCGTCCAGCCTGTGGCACCAGCTGACCCGGATCTGAGGGGGCCGTGCCCGTCACGCTGCTGCCCGGCTGGCTGCCGCTGTCTCCTAGTGCCAACTCCTCACGGACCGCAAGAAGCATGACTTTGAACACGGGAAGGCATTCCGAGATTTTAAAGCATTCATGGACTCTCTGTTCCATATTAAAAGCTGTTTTTGTTGTACAAACTTCATTGATGTTCAGTTCTATTTTATTTTGCCTCCAGAAAAGAAGAAAAACTCAAAAATAAACTTTTGTGTATTGCAGCAACCAGTTGTGTCTCCATATATCTTCCTCCCAACCCTAAAATGTCGTTCCAAAGAAACCTGTGGTTTACATGAACTCCCTGGGGACCCAGGCTGCTGAACACCGCACTGTGATTTTCTTTGCCGGTGGAAGTCATCTCAGCGGGCCCTTAGCAGCCTCACGGTCGGTGGCTTGGGAAATAGAACCTCAGAAGTACCGACCCCAAATCCAGGATCCTGACAGACCAGATGCGCGTGTGCGCGCGCGCGCGCGCACACACACACACACACACACACACACACACACACACACACTGAGCTTCCAAGGTGAATGTCAGGAAGCATGAGTGCAAGACATGTAGTGCCTGGCAGGTTGTTCCGCCTCAGGCTCTACCTACTGAACGGCGCTCAGCACAGCAATTCCACAAATCGTGTTTCTCGCTATTGGAAAAGTGAGAAGAAAACTTCTGATGAGAAGCTACAGACCCATCGGTTCCTACAGAACACAGCTACTCTACCCACATTGCCGTTTCAAAAACATTCTCCATCAGGATGTTTTATTTGTATTGTGTGCCTGATGCTTTAATGTGAGCATTCTGTGAGTACCTCAGCGATCTGAACCCAAACGGTCGCTTGTCCTCACCACCTCTGAAAGCCTCCACATGGCGCATACCTTGAAGAGCATCTGGCTTTACTTTAGCAAAAGAAGAAAAATAAATAAACTTGAATCCTCTATCTGAAGTGAAAAGTACTTCTTTTTAAAGTTTCAATCCAGTGCTTTAAAGCAGGACTGTCTTTTGCATAGTTTATTTTCCTTTTTCTTTAGAACCCTAAATCTTTCCCACCCATGCGGAAGCAGGGGGTGTGCAGACCGTGCTGGCTCCTGGGTCTCCCCCCAGAGCAGCCAGGTGGGCAGGTGATGCTGAGGAGCACCACAGGTTCTCACACCTTTGGCAAACTTCTCTGTGTACCGCCTTTGTGCAGAGCCTGATGGGAGCATACAGCTGGCTTCTGCTCTTAAGGAAACCCACGAGGTTGACCCCGTGTGCACGCCCGCAGGAAGGCTCGGTGCAGTGGCCACCTCTGCCTGTTGTCCTCTACCCCTTACCGCACACAACCTTGACGCAGAGCAGATGCTCAAGTGATTCGCTAAAGAGATTGGGGCAGTGCATGGAGGTACAAAGAAAGCTTTAGCTATGTTAGAGAGATTGCTTCCAACTCAGAAGGATCAGGGAAAGCTTAGCATTGTAATGCAGTGCTGGAAGAAAAAGGCGTTATTTAATACAAGTCTTTGGTTTAGTAGGGAAAGAACTAGAGATTTTGACCTGCTACAGCTAGGACTCCAGTTTATGGTAAGTCCTGATCAAAATGTTTCAAAGCTATAGATGGTAAGTACATGGAAATGACCCACAGCAATTAATTAGACATTCCAAGTTGCGGGAAATGCAGCAAAGAAATGTAAGACTTAAGTGTGCCTGGGGAATTTAATACCTGAGGCATTAGAGCCACTTCACAGAGAAGTGAGGCGAAAGTTAGACTTCGCCTCTGAGGGGTAGTGAGGTTAGAAGGGTGTGGAGCGGGGGAGCAGAGGGCAATAGCGTGAGGACGGGTGTGTGCTGCCGTGGGGGGGCACGTTGCTCGAGGAAATGAGACCCTGGGCCAAAAGAGCTAGTCGGGGAGGAGGAAGGAGACCTCTGAATTTAAGGACAGCAAAGTATGTGCACTTACTAGACCTTTGCCCAACAATTCAGAGGCACTCGGCAGTCTGTGCCCCGCTGCTCCCTCTCCCCCATTATCTCTCAACCTTCCCTCAGCTCCTGAGCTCACGGAGGACCCTCTCCTCCAGCCCTGGCCCTGCGGGGCCGCGCCCCAGCAGGTTGCTGTCCTCCGGCTCTGCCCCAAGGACATGCATTGAGCACCACCACCTTGAATTTGTATGAAAATCTGTAGGAAGCACAGCCGAAGCAACCAAAGAAACAGTGCACACTTTTAAGATGATCACTGTACAAGTTGTCACACTTCTTGTCCAAGGTCCAGGGTTCCTGACCTCTCATGGAGGTGACAACTAGGACTGAAGCTGCCTCTGCCTTCTGCCTTTGTCTCCATGTGAGGGTGTGTCTGGGCGCAGGCTGGTGAGGTTTTCTCTATGAAGATTCTTTCTTGCTCTCAATGCATGTTTATTGGAATACGAATGTATTCTAAATTAGACATCAGCAAATTCAGACTACCAGTGTAAACAGAAAATGATACCATAGGACCAAAGGGAATGATCTGCAGGTTTTCAGCTTCCTTTATCCATACTTATCTGCATCAGAGTCATTCTGTTTTTACAAAGCACTGGGGAGGCTTCCGTGTTCTCAGACGGCCTTGCATAAACACTGAAATTGTCTGCTTTTGCAGAATTAGGCAAACTCAAACACGAATCCTCTGATTTTAGTGCTTTGTTAAGGGTAGATTTTTTTTCTTTACCTTTTTTACTATCTGCTATAGTAATTGGTCTATCACTTCCTATTTGATTGCTCTAACATTTTTCTATGAAATTATTTTCTCTAGGCACTCAAATGTATTGCCACAGTAACACATAAATAATTTAGATATTTAATCATCTCAGCATTTGTGGTATATCTCTGTTCATTTGTAATTCTGTGCGTTTTTGCTGTCTTCCTCTTTTCCTGTATTAATCAACCTCAGAAGATTTATTCTTTCAAAGAATGAGACTTTTATTTATTAACTCATTCATTACTTTTACTATCTATTTTATTATTTTCAGCTTCTACCTATTTGCTCTCCCTAGTCTCTTATAAAAATTGTAATTTTTCTAATTTCCTTAAAGGAGTATTTGGTCCACTTTATTTTAAAAGGAATGTATGTATATATGGCTACAAACTTTTCCCTCCATAGCTTTCTTATTCTGTACATTTTGCTATGAACTGTTCTCCTTTTCAATTTTTTTGGACATTTAAAAGTTTGCTTAGTTTTCTTCTTGGGAATGATCACTTTTGGATTTTGAGTGGGGGAATTTCCTAATAGTCCTACCTTACTGTTGCAAAGGATTTTTTTTAACAGCACTGGGTGTTGGAGCCAGAGCCTTGAGCATGCCGGGCAAGCACTCTACCCTTGAGCCATAGCCTAGCCCTTTTTGTGTTTCTTATTTTGAGAGAGAGTCTGGCTAAGTTGCCCAGGTTAGCCTCGAACTTGTGATGCACAAGCAGTTGATTCTTAATGTTGTTCTGCAAAATTTAACGGAAACATCAAACTACAGCAAACCCCAATGCGTTACACCTACAGACTAAGTAAACTTTGATGCCACTTTTCCTGTTTTTGTCTCTTCTTTCATGTTTTCTAGGTTCGTCTTTGCCCCAGCGTGAACTTCGGGGCAGTGTTTGAGTTCTTTCATCAGTTCTGCTTCTGTTCTCGTTCCCTCCTGCACTCACTCACTCGGAGCCCCGGGGAGCTGAGCAGACAGTCAGCGGCGCCCTCACTACAGGCTGAAAGGAGACAGGAACCCTAAGCCGCTCCATCCTGGGTCCTGCGCGCGGCTTCCGAAGCGCGGCAGGGACAGCTCGGGCCGGTTGTACTACAGGGGGAATGTTCAGACGGGGAGGGAGGGGAGGCACAGACTTGTGCTTGCAGAAACTAGTCTCGTGCTTCTGGCTTTTGAGGGTCGGAATGGTGGAGGCTAAGCAGACAGGAGCCAGTTAAATGGAAATGTCTGAGCAAAGGTGGGCTGGCCTTTTCTCAGAAATGTTCTAGAAAGTCACGTGAGCTGGGGACAAAGGTAACCTTCAGGTGACTTCCCTTATCTCTGTCAGAATACTATCTAAACTTCTCCAGCAGGAGCAAGTAAGACAGACAAGAAGCAAGTTCTCTTCCTCCGGTCTTCTCTTGGGTCCACTTCGAGTCAATTCCACAGGCCCTTCGCCCTTGGCCTTCAGTCTTGAGTGTGAATGTGACCATCCTCAGGAAGAAACTGCAAAGTTGGAAACCTCCCCTGACCGACCTGAAAGGCAGGGAAGCCTCAGGAGGGTACATGTTTGTCAGGGAAGTGGGAGGGCGGTACAGTTTTCCAGAGTGTGCAAGGAATTTTTTTTTTAACTTTTTAAAAAAATTTTTTACCTTCTTTTTTAAACTACTTGCTTTCGTCTCTGAGCCCCCCACCGCCAAGCTACCAGGGAACTGCGTCTCAGTCATGAGCAGCGTGCTATCTCCCTCCAGGCTGGGTTTGTGGTCATCAAGGCCGTGTCTAGGTTGCTTCTGGACAGCGTCACGTTGTCCGATGTCCCCGGCTATCTACCTCTGTGACATGCACACAGCCCACCAGACCTGAAGCCCCCTGGGTCAGATCACCCCACCTCCCATAGGCTGCCCTGCCATCTTTTCTGAGGTCTGGGTGCTGCCTTTTAGCTCCTGCAGCTTCCTTCCTGCACACCCAGGATGTCCCTGCAGTGGGGAGAGGTCCCTCCAGCTACAGGGTCCTCCAGGCTCCTCCTGCCTTTCTGCCTTTCAGCTTCCCGGGACAAAGCACTGTTGACCCTTGGTTCACGCTTGAAAGGGAAAAAAGAAGACTGCAAGGAGAAAGGATGAATTAACACCTCAAAAAATTTTACTCTACAAATCAGAGTGATAAACTCCTTCACATCTAGTGCAAATTAGATTCATTTGTCCACTCAGTCCTGCACTCAACTGAATTTACTGAGCACCTCCTGCAGACCAAGGACATGGTTATACTCTCTCCCAGTTGGACCTTCAATGGCAGAACTCTCTGAGATGCTTAACTCACACATTAACTTGTCTGACTTTCCCACTGGAGCACAACAAATTTGATTTCTACAGTATGGCATTCCGAGGATACTGAGGAAAATCGATCAGTTTTTCTTGCTGCATGCTCACAACACTGATCTTTTACAGATCTCAAGATGTGTGGGGCTTCCTCTGCACAAGCAAGCAAGCAGTTCTACAGCAGACACAGCTGAGCCTCCTCTACTGCAGCTCAATTCCAATGCCATCTTCCTGGAGAGAGCGTCC